TGTGGGGAGCTGGCTGCTTTACTAGCAGCCACTTTTTAAAGTAGTTGCTACAGTGTGTTAAAGGGGAAGGAGAGAGGGGAATGGACCAAGGCTCATTCTCACTATTTTAAAGGACTCGTGCCTTAGTTCAAGTTTTTTTGGTTCAACTGCTTCCTTGAAGGTTCCAAATAGTTATACAATATTTATATTTAGAAACAGAATAAAAACAACTGAATGTTTGCCATTGTGCAGAGAATCATCATTACCTCACTGGCTATACAAAAAGCAAACTGCTACCTCTCCTCCAGTTTGATGCATACATATATGTATGAGTACTGTGTATGCTGTCTATGCGCACATACTTTACTGTATGTGGAGGCTATTTAAGGGTTCAAGATCCATACATAATCAAGCACAGAATATATAACTGTGAACACTATAGTACACAATTTATAGACTGTACAAAGATTTAAAAAAAACACTTAACAATTATAACAGTGTACACAGAGAGAATCATAAAATCATAGAAAATGAGAGCTGGAAGGGACCTCAGGAGGTCACATATAGTCCAGTCCCCTGCTCAAAGCTGGAAGGGCCCCCCAACTACATCATCCCAGCCAAGGCTTTGTCTATCTGGGTCTTAAAAACTTCCAAGGATGGAGATTTTGCCACCTCTCTGGGTAATCTGTTCCAGTGTTTTACTGCCCTTCTAGTGAGAAAATTCTTCCTAATATGTAGCCTTGACTCACCTTGCTGCAGCTTGAGCCCATTGCTCCTTGTTCTGTCATCTGCCCCCACTAAGAACAGTCCAGCTCCATCCTCTTGGCACCCCCCCCTTCAGGGACTTAAAGGCTGCTATTAAATCTCCCATAGTCTTCTCTTGTCCAGACTAAACAAGCCCTGTTCCCTCAGCCTCTCCTCACAAGTCATGTCCCCCAGCCCCCAACCATTTTTGTTGCCATCTACTGGACTTTCTCCAGTGCATCCACATCCTTTCTGTAGTGGGGGGCTAAAAACTGAACACAGTACTCCAGATGTGGCCTCACCAGTGCTGAATAGAGGGGAAAATCACTTCCCGTGATTTGCTGGCAACAATTCTACCAATGCAGCCCAGTATGCCGTTAGTCTTCTTGGCAACAAGGGCACACTGTTGGCTCATATTCAGCTTCTTGTCCACTGTCACCCCCAGGTCCTTTTCTGCAGAGCTGCTGGCCAACCCATCAGCCCCCAACTCGTGCTGGTGTGTGGATTGTTCTGTCCCAAGTGCAGGACTTTTTACTTGTCCTTATTGATCCTCATGAGATTTCTTTTGGCCCAATCATCCAACTTGTCTAGGTCACTCTGAATCTTAGCCCTACCTTCCAGCCTATCTACTATCCCCCCCCCCCCCCCCCCCCCCCCACCCCCACCCCCCCCC